ATAAGGATTCTTGGCCGATGTGTTAGACTTTTCAGTTAGAAAAATATTCTTTACTTACTGGAATGAGTATGTTTTAAAAAAGAATCAGTTGTTCCATGAAAATGATACAGTCATGCTTCTATATGTTCCTTCAGAATAAATAAATGTGCTTGCTAGTGTAGACATGACTAAGAAACGGGATGCATACTTAACGGAAGACAGTCTCTATAGTTTTTCATTCACCTAATTGATGCTGTTTGATAATTTCATTTCACTGCATTTAAGTTAGCCCTTGAAGTAACAAGTCAACATTATCTATATTAATAGTTGCAGATCCACTAAATTATGAGTAGATGATCTTTCCTAGAAATGTGTCTAGGGAAAGGAATTACAAAAATCTGATAATATCTCCTGCGTATTATTTTAACTTGAAGGCTAAAAGTGTGTCTGCCTTTCCTAAAACAGTAAAAGGGATGAATTTTTTTTTTTTGTAAACAAAAGGTGTCAGTTCTGTTGCATAGTTCAGCCTGTAAGCAGCAGATGTTTACTGTGCTTAGTGTGCTTTATAGTAGTAAGTGAATGGTAGGTTCCTTCAGGCTGTTAGAATTAGCAAGCTGAATAGTGTAGCAAGTCCTAGTAGCCTCTCTTCTGCATCACTGTGTTCTGAACTTTTCCACCTTGTCTTAAGAGGACAGTTGCATCTCCAAGTATTTCTATAAAAAAATATAGTGAAACTGCCTTGTGAAAAACTCCATTAAAATGCCTGTCTTTGCTAGGAAAGTAGTATAATAGGCATAAAATGTGATAGAAGATAGATATGTGCTGGGATGGTGTTGGGAGCCCAAATTCTTAAAGAAGTCAGAAGGAGGCTGAGAAAATTGGCCTGTGCTATATGTTGAAAGAAGTTCTATTTTTTAAAAAGAAAGAGTTAAGATGTTACTTACATCTGCACGTACATCGTGCCGCAAATTGAAATTCTGTTCCTAATGATTAGTCACAGTCCAAAGAAGTAGCAAGTGCTTATGAAGATCATAGAGGCTACGTGGTCAAAATGCTCAACTAAAACCTATTCCTGTATTGGCTGGGTGAATATCCTGTAGTGATCTGTTTTGTTTTTTTTTTTTCAGACACCAACTTATTAATTCCTTCAGCTAGTAGGGAGGTTACTCTGAGATTAGTTCTGAGCAGTATGCAGCACCTTGTTTTATATATTATCAGAGCTGCCTTTTTTGTGACTGTGTTTCAATAACCTTGTCTGAGCAGAGGTGTTTAGAAAAACGTAAACCACAGTAACAGTAAGTTTTAAAAAAGCATCTCAGGTTTGAGAAGCTTCTTCAGGAGGAAGCTTAGAGTGAAGTACTGGAAGAGGATGTATTAAGATGGTCATGTTGTTGTATGCTGACTGTGAAGATAGCATTGATTCTTACCCAGAAGGACGTAGTCCAGGAAGATGATCTCCGAGGTGTAGAAGCTGTTGAGTTAGGATAACTGGAGAAAGCAAACAAAACAGAAGTCTGTTAAGACAGAGGATTTGAGAACTGTTTTGCGGAGTATGTTAAAACCTGAAAACATTGCACATTGAAAGCAAGAAACTTGCCAGAGTCTCTAGGGCTCATACGTGAAAGGGCACCCAGGAGAAGTCAGATCATTTAGTAAAAACTAACTGAACTAATTGCATTGCTTTTTGTCAGAGAAGGGCTTGAGACTGCTCCCCAGAACTTTCTTTCACTCTAGGGAACTGTCATTTTAAATTTCAGTAAGGAGTGTTTAAGTCCATCAGCAGAATGAAAACTGTTGTACAGCTCTGTCTGGTGGCATATGCTGAAGAATTCCAGATGAATTTAACTGTGAAGCCACAGTGCATGGTTTGAACTTTAAATGAATTTTGATTATGTAGCTTTTGTGCTGTTGTTCCAGGCAAAGGAAACATTAAATGAAGTGCTACCTTGCGAGTGCAAGGTAGAAAATATGAAGTTGACTTGTTAGAAAGTAGATCAGGGAAGGAAATGTAGACTAGTGGTGAGTGGTCTTTTTTTGTCTTTCATAACATGATTGAGAATTGTGACAGTGTTAATCATCTGAACAGAAGCTCAGTGGGGCATGGCAGTGAGAGTGCTTGTGTGCATGCTGTTTTTCTGACCTTGCTAACACACTAGGGGCTGCTTTTGAAAGACCATTCTGTGTATGGTAGAGGCTGCAGTGCATAAGGGAACTGAGATCCTTTCTATTCTCCTCCTTGCCTTATATGGGGTGGCTACTATACATGCATTTATTTTCAGGAATGTCTATATCTCCTGGAATGCGTGGACGAGGTTGATACCGTAACAAAATAGAACTTCCTTTCATGCGTAAACATAAATGGGCTAGTGCCTGCTGTGATAAAGGTGTTTGTGTCTCACAGGTGTCATTTCCTTGAAGGACTCATTGTTAATCCTTATTCATGTGGTCAGTCGGATAACATGGAACTGTTGGATTTTTTCAGAAGAATGTGTCTTGAGATTCTTTTTTGAAGGCACTGTAAAAATTGAAGTTACAGGTTTGCAGGACTTACGGGTTAACTGCTTAGAAGTAGCCAAAAGAAAGAATAAAATACTTCATAATAAGGGAGTGTTACCAGTGGAATTTCTCGAGTGTGTTGCTCGATATATTCATAAATACCTGGAGGGAAGAAAAGAATGAGGAAAGGATAGAAAGGATAATAGAAAGCTGGAGCTGGCTGCAGATAGTCACAGTGGGAGTTTGTTGTTCATTAGGTTATAAAATTGCTGGGAAAATTAAATTCTAGTAAATACGTAATCGTGAATCTGAAGAAAAATAGTTCAGACTTGAATATACCCAGTGGGTGGGCTTTATGTTGGTGGCTATTGTTCAGAAAACACCTTGAAGCTCCTTCGTAATGGTTTCTTTTAAAGAGCCAGCTGTATGCTCAGATATCCTCAAATAGTTGTTAGCAGCAATCTTTGCTGAAGATATGGACAATAAAGTGAAAATGAGCGTCATGGACTGAATGGTGTAATTTTGTATTGACTGTGTGCATTTCTGGCCACCTGTCAGAGAACGTGGTGCAACAGAAGGTGGTCAGCGGTGATCAGACTTCGGACTTTCTCCTGTGTGTGGAGAGAAAAAAAGATGAGGATTGCTAGCTTGAAAAAGAGCTGGTGGATAGAGACAAGTGGGTATGAATAGAGAGCCGGAGAAGTGCTGTGTTTGGAGATAAACCGCCAGTAATAATGTTTTTCCCTCAAGAAAAAGAGCATCAGATAAAATCATTAACCAGCAGCAGTTAAAAATAAAATATTTCTTAATTCTGATGCGTACTTAAATTGTCATAGAATGCCATGAATTACAAAAGCATAAATGGTCTAAAAAGACCTGGAAAAATCAGTGGAAGATGAATTCTTTGAGCTAATAAACATTATGGTTGGGATCCACCCAGAAAATATGCCACATGAGATTGCTGGAGGCGGCAGGATTGCTGCAAGGGAGTTGGATAACTACTTTGTCTCTTCTTGCTTTCACCAATTGCTAATTTTTATAAGCAGGACAATGGCCCCATTGCTGTTAGGTGCATTCAAGTATTCCCTTCACTGGTCTTTTCATCTTGGAAAGAGGAAAAAGCCCAAACCATACTTCCTAGAAACAAAAAATAGGAGCATCTTCGTTTGTATTTTCTGTCTTGCTCTGAAGATTTGAAATCAAATAGATTTATCAAAACATTGACATGTTTAGTTGACAAGTCTGCTGTGTAGTTAAAAGTGCTATTGTGGATCCAGGCCCAGTTTAAGGTAAGGGAAAGGGCAAACAGTAATTTTAAGTATATATATGCTTTTTGGAAGTATTGTTGTGCTTTGCTGCTAAAATCTATTTGTGTACGGAAAGGAATCCTGAATTGGGCACATGATCTGTTGGAGGCTATCTGTTGGGGTGAGAATTCTCTACCAAAATGAGTTGCGAAAGTTTCAGGGGAAGAGTTAGGAGTTCTACTGGAGATGTATAAAATTTTCCTTTGAAAGGCTAAGCATGTTAACTAAGGATTGAACCTGATATTATTACTTGAGGACAGTATTTGTCTTTCACTACAATGTTGAATTTATATGTTTCTTGAATTTTTGTCTGGCATGGCTTGATGCTTTTTCATTGAAAACAAACACGATATTCACCTGAAAATTCAAATTGATCTGTCAAATTTGCCAGCAAGTGTTCTAAGGTACAGGGAGATGGGAAATAAGTGGACTTAGGTGGATAAGAATCCAATATGAGAACTCCTCATGTAACACTGGCATTTATGTACTTTCCACTTGAGAATACATTTAATACTTTGAGTAGATCAGTTGGAAGGTCACTTCCAATATAAATGAATGTCTAATAAAGGGCTTGAGTGGTCAAAGGAATCCCTGTTTTTCGAAGTGGGTGTTTTCACATAAGGGAATACTCAAATGTCCCCCTTGTATTGCCCTCTACAAAAACTTGGTGATAGTGGTCTGTTTGCAAGTCTGTGTGAACTTCCAGGTACACAGAAATAATAACCCCTGAAAATAAACATACTCAAAGATTTTTAATTGTTCTTGTGCTCCTTCACATTTGGATCATTGTGTAACTTCTAAGACTATGCTTTGGTTTTTTTAAAGAAAGCAATCTTTGGGAATCAGGAATTGAATTTGGCCTTCACTGTTGAGCCAGTAAGAAGGTTAGTAAATGTCTACTAGTGTTTGTATCCTGTGTCTTTTGACATCTTTGGTATCTAGGTAAAGTAACGAGGGCTGATGTGTAGGTATTGCTTAGATGCTGTGAGGTGCTGCCATAAAATCAAGTATGAATATACCTGTCCCAAATACCAGATCGCAAACCCTCCAGTTACCTATGTGAATGCCACAACAATTAGGCTTTCATCTTTCTTGAAAGTACTGCTTGTTTTGGTTGAATAATTATCTTAAATAATGCCTATGGCTTGTTTTTGTTGGAATTTACTGCAGTAGCTAACTTGTCGTTATAGCTGATACTACTTTCTCCTTTAGACTACATGAAGAAATAATTGACTTCTATGACTTCATGTCTCCTCGTCCTGAAGAAGCAGCTATGAGAAGAGAAGTGGTGAAAAGGATAGAAACTGTCATCAAAGATCTTTGGCCTACAGCTGATGTGAGTGTAATTCAAGTGTTGATTGCTTCTCTGGTAAACTGTAGAGCTATGTTCACTTAACCTTGCTATTATCTTTCTGTGGTTTAGAAATGAACAGATAAGACTTCAAACTCAAGGCAGTTGACTTAATATCACAGCTCTTGCAGTACTTGGCAGTTCATTTTAAAAAATGGAGAAAATTTTAAATCTAGATTTAAGGTTAATGAAGGCTACTGATAATTTTATCTTTCATTTTGAGAACCAGGGATGTGAAGAACTTTCCACTTTAAGAAGTACATTTCTTAGAGTAAAAGCTTATTAAATTGATTGTCTCTTATAACTTAATTTTGAATGTTAAAGTGAGGCTGCCTGCCTTGTATCTGTTTCTGTAAGGACTCCTGGCTCTGAATATTTGTAAATAAAAATGTTTTACAAGGGAATGATTAAAACCCCCAGATTTTTTTTTTTGTACTCTTCATAAATTTGACATTCAGTGAATTACTTTAACCTTGCTTTAGTGACAGAATTGAACTTGACTTCCTGAGTTACATTGCAGCCAAAGTTGTTGTATTTTCAAGCCCTTTATTGCCTAAACAGTAAGTTTCTTCCAAAGAAAAACCATCTGGGAGTAGTGTAATTTAAAGTGTCTCTCTAGTATCACCTTTCTGATTACCAGATAGTAATATTGTCATTAACAAGCAGAAAAATGTTTCAAACCGTTGTGATTTTATGGCCTTCCATGATGAAGAGCGAGGGCTGTGGCCACAGTGCTGAGCTAAAGATACTGTAAAGTTTCTCTGCTGCATCTTCTTCTGTGGTTTTTCCTTAGTAATAACATTTTTCTAGCTTGTGGGAACAGAGATTAAACACTGAAATGGGCCAGTGTTACCCACCCTTTTCATAGGTCATTTCAAAGAAGTGAACTTGTAAATCATGCTCTGCTGTAGCAGAGGGGGAAGAATGTCTCAATTCTCCCCATTAGAAGCATACCAAAGCATTTGATGTGGGCTGTGAATGTCTCTTCAGCATGCTGCCTTTTCCACACACAGATACCTACCACAATTTCATAATCGTCCTTGCAGTAAAATCTGGAGTATTCATGTTTATCTGAATCGTATGTTTTAGATGCGCTTGCTGGTTTTGAACCTAAAAATTTGGGAAAAATGTTTCCCTTAAGCTCGTCCAGTCTCAGTAAAGCTGTCCTATGAGGAAAGAAGGAAGTGGGAAGGAAAGAAATTAACAGCCTATACGTACGTCAAACTGGAAATAAATAGCAAAAAGGAGTTGTTTCAAAAGATTGTGCTCTGCTGCTAGCAGGATTGGTAGTCATTTCGTGTTAAAAAATAATCCTCTAAAGTTGCATCTATAAGAGAATGTGTATTTCTGCAGGTTTCACATAGTATGTGGTAAAGTAAGTTCAATAACTTTTTACTGGGCTATATCCTTAACAAGTCCAGAAAAATCTTTGTCTGTGAAAGTGAAATGAAGTAAGCATTCATAATTACAAGTTATTTCACTGGTGTGGGTTTTTTTTTCAGGTCCAGATATTTGGCAGCTTTAGTACAGGGCTTTATCTTCCAACTAGGTAAGTAATAATTTATATAAAGCTTGTCTTTTAGAATAATGGCAAATTTCAAAGGGGAATTCAGACTGGAATATGTAAACCTGTCAAACTTCCAGTAAAATTTTTACCTAATGTCCCATGTTACAAGGGGAAGAGCTTTTTAACTTAGATTTAAGTATTTGATATATTGTTGTAATTCTCTAGGTAGTTACTGATGCTTTGGTGAATTACCTTTACTTCCTTGTATCTGGGGTTAGTCTTTGTTTTCAAGAAATTGAATGTTCAGTATTTCCTGTGTAAAGACTGTTTTGTTAAATAAGGTGAGTTACTGACTGTCACCACCAGAGTTACTGTGCAAAGTTACAAGAGTCATCACAGCTGTTTTCCCATATTTTTGAGAAAAAAATGTCTAAAATGTCTTAATTCAGTGTTTCACTTAATAGTTCAATAGGTGGATGTATAGCTGTGTCTTAATGGCTGTGTTGTCTTTATAGCAATTAAAATTTCACTTAGGAAAGCACTGGACATACCACTTTTATGAATAACAATCACTAAAAATTGTTTGGACTATTAATGTTCCTGTCAACACTGGTAGATGAGGGAGTGGATGGGGCTATGGAAGTCAGAGGGGAAGGAGGAAGAAAGGTAAAAGGAAAAGGAGGACAAAACTCCCCAGAGAACTGGAAGCAAGAAACTAGAATACTGCTTTGGGTCCTAAAGCACACTAGGCTATCTCTTTAGCATTCCTAAAAGCAGCGTATTGGGAACCTAGATTAAAAGTTGCAAAATGGTCACCCTGAGGGACTTTTTAAGATGTAGAATGCCAATTTTATGGTTTGTTTTTTTGTGGAGTATTATGGTTTAGACTTAATGGATCTCCTGTTGTGTTCTTTTTGTCTAGTGATATTGATCTAGTTGTTTTTGGGAAATGGGAACGGCCACCTTTACAGCTGCTGGAGCAAGCACTAAGAAAACACAATGTGGCTGAGCCGTATTCCATTAAAGTACTTGATAAAGCTACAGTAAGTAATAGTCTTTGGAATACTGAACTGAAGAGTTTTCAGACCCCTTAAGATGTTGGTGATAAATAGTGTTCTTAATTCGTGAAGCACATTGTATTGCCTTAAGCACAGTGTTTTTGGTCTGTGCAAGATTTTAATAGGATCTGTGCTTAGCGATAGCATGCAGTGTACTGTATTTACTGGAAGGCCATACCTCTTCAATTGATATGAAACGGTGCTATGCTTTGTTTTTTTATGTTTTCCATTTCAGATTAAAAACTCAAAAAGCTTGATTTAAAATAGATGTTATCAGCTGATGTTTAGGCTATGATAGCAAGACAATTCTGTAGGATACTGCACTCAAGGTGGAGGTGGTGTGAGACTGAACTACAATATTGGTAGTTCTATAATAATTCATTGCTGCCAGAAGAGGACATATTGCTATTCCTGCTTTGCTTTTTGAAAGAGCAGTTTGGCTTTCATTTGACTCTGCAGTGAACCGGTGCAGCTTTATAAACCAACAGACAGTGCTATGTTTTTTTTTTTTTCTTCTAGGATAGTCTTCTATCAGTTCAGCAAGTGAATGGTGCAGTGTTGGGTCAGATGAATGCAGTTTCCCCAGGTTATGAGTGTAGAATGTGTCCTATTAACAGCAGTGAGTCATTAAATAAATTTAGTTGCCTTACAAAACACTGGCATTGCAGCTATGGAGACAGATATCTAGTAATTACGGCAAAGTACATGAGTGATCAGAAGTTAATGTGATCCTACATGCCTGTGTTTTTTATCACCTCACTAAAAAGTATTTGCTTGTCAGTCACGTTAGGATTGTTATCTTTTCTCAAATCCATGTTTCCTTAGCTTGAAAGTTGTATTCTTTTGGGCTGATAGTATCCTTGTGTCTTAAGTGAATAAGTTGGAGAATAGCACCAGTGTTGCATTTCTGAGTATTCATAAAACCTTATTTTAATCTTTTCAGGTACCAATAATAAAACTTACTGACCAGGAGACAGAAGTGAAAGTTGACATCAGTTTTAATGTAGAAACTGGTGTGAAGGCAGCTCGATTTATCAAGGAATACATGAAGGTATCAGCCATATAATTAAATGCTATACTGCTTGCCAAATATGTGCTAGATGCGTAGCTAACCTTTCTCGGTACGGCTTACACTTTTGAAAATCAATTACTGAAGACTATAATCATTAACACTAATTTAATGTGGATATTTTAATCTATTTTCTGCTGGTGTCTATTCAGTGTTGCCTTTGAGTGCTAGGTGTTTATGTGGATAAACCTGTACACTGAAGGGACTAATACAGTCATATATAGATCTGCAGATAGGTACTAAACTTTGCTTTTAAAGCAAGTGTTGAAGTTTTGCTTACCTTGAACTTGTGATGCTTGATTATTCTTCTGTAGTTACATACTTAAAATCAAGTTTACTTTCATGCTTTGCAGTAAAAGTACGGTTTAGATGGAAAGCTTTAACTATAATGAGTGACACTGGCATTCAAAGGAGGATTTGAAAGTCTTCCTGTTTGGGGGTGGGTATAAATTTGATATGTAAGCTGTTCGATCAAATAAGACTTGAAGTCTAGTCATCTGTTTTTAGACTAAAAAAAGGCATGTTTCAGTTTTTCCTGTGGAAACACTTTATAGCACACCACTATTTAATATTTTGTATTAGAAGATGAATCTTCTTGTGTTGAGATTGTCTAGTTTGTTCTTTGTTTCAGAAAGTTGACACTGTCATTGATAAGACTTACTTTGCTTTGCAGAAATATTCTTTGCTGCCTTACTTGATTTTAGTATTAAAACAGTTCCTCCTTCAGAGGGACTTGAATGAAGTTTTTACTGGTGGAATTAGCTCTTACAGCCTAATTTTAATGGCAATTAGTTTCCTGCAGGTAAGTCTGTTCCTTGTTTGTGTTCTTTGAAATACTTTGGTGTATGTACTTATGCCCTGTTATGGTGCTGATTCTTTAGACTCCCCTAGCAATGCACAGCTTTACTGTTATGGTTCTAGGTATTTGTTCATTGGCAGCTCCTGTAGACTACCTCTTAAATCTCTAAGACCTTCCATTCACTGCGTGTGAATAGAAGTGAACTGAAACAGCAGCAGGAGCCTTATGAAAAAGCACAGAGTCTGTGCATTGCTTTTTATACCAGGCCCTGTGATTTGGATTATGTGCTATCCTGGGCAGCCTATTCTAGTACTTGAATCATCTTACTTGTGTTTTGTAAATCTGCCAGGATGCAGTTTAAATCTATTGGTTCCTAGACTGATTGTGTAGAGTAGTTGATTTCAGTGCTTGTTAAAATTCTGAAATGTCAGTCAAGTTGTTTTTTAATTACATGTTGGTTAGGTGTTGACATACTTAAAACTGACAGATACTGTAGGTAAGTGATGAAATAGCTAATAAGTTATGACATCTTCCAGTGTATTTTTGTGACAGTAAGATTCATGTGAGTATGACGGGATACAATGTTAGTGTCTCTCAGATACTGTGATAATGGAAAAACCTACGTATTCTGCTGCTGTTAAAGATTAATTGAAATATTACTATAGATTTTACATACCATATATAATATGGGGAGGTTGAGGTAAATAGAACCCCCCACTACTTTTGGAAACATTGACTGATGAAGAATCAGGCATTACTCTGTAATGTAGTTTGCAGTACTTTATTGCTTTTGGCTTAGGGAAAAGTACTAAGAGTCAAAAAACTGGAAGAGACGAGAAGAAAGAATTGTTTGGTTTCCGGGTACTGCTGAAGTGCTGCCCCCTCTTGGTTATGTGAAAGTAGTTTAAGTACATGAAGAATTAATGACTCAATTCAGACTTGTGTAAAGAGATTATACTCAGCTGTTTAAATGAGAGCTTTTTATTGCACTGTGTTATGGTCTGAAAAGCATTAATTTTTAATAATTAACAACTGTTCTGTCACAGCTGCATCCAAGAATTGATGCCAGACGAGCTGACGAAAACCTTGGAATGCTTCTGATAGAATTTTTTGAACTCTATGGAAGGAATTTTAACTACTTGAAAACTGGTATTAGAATAAAAAACGGAGGTGCCTATATTGCCAAAGAAGAAATCATGAAAGTCATGACTAACGGATACAGACCATCCATGCTATGTATTGAAGATCCTCTCCTGCCTGGTAAGATTGTACACTTCTTGCAATATTTTGGAGCTCTGGCTCAACTTGTGCTCTCTTAGCTTAGGGACTCAGTGTTAGAGTCCCTAAATTCTGTCAAGTGAGTTAAGAAGCTGTGCTGAGAAGAGACTGTTGCTGGTGTCAAGATACAGTTACGGAGATGGGCTAAGGAATAAGGACCTGAAGTCTCCCAAGATTCATAACCTGAGTAAATTGGATTGCATGCAAACAGTGCAGATACATAATGCATTGGAGATTCAGAACTGTTGGGTGTATAAGAAGATTCTCTAGCAGTTCTGAGAGGTAGTGAAAGAAAGAGGTCTGGGAAGTCCTAGAAGGGGTTTCTTAGTAGGAACAACTCTCTGTTGTTCATTGTGAGAGAATGAGAATGGAAGTTGTTGCTTTTTCTGCCACAGTCTGTGATGCCATACTTCAGATACATTATATGGGAAAGAAATGCCCCAGATGAGGTACCTGTCCTGCAGTATCGTGCAGTAGAGAGACTGCACTGAAACATGGGTGTATATCCATGAATGTGTAGCAAGGGACCAGCTGTATTATGATGTTGGTGTGAAGAGTGGTTTGCATAACTGATTTCTGTGCTGCACAGAGACCTTCGGGGAATGCCAGTTATAGTTGCATGTACTTTTGAAAGTAATTTTTTTTTCTCTAAGATTTGGTTTTCATTCAGTAATCTTCAAAGTAATCAAGATTAACTTTGGCTGAGCTCCTGAAAAAAATTTCCAATGTTATAGTACTCAGTTTGGATTCTATTTAGACTGTCACAAGTAGCTGAAATTCCAAAACAGCTTTTTAACAAGTCAATTTTCAGTTAATTTGGACTTCAGCATTAGTATTTCTAGAATGTAATTGGCACTCAAACTCCATACTGTCACGTCTTGTGGGTAGACTGCTTATGTACAGCACTTTTAAAGCAAATACCATGGATCAGGAGCTGAAGTCTGGCACCTTTCTATAAATATTCAATATGCTGAATGCTCATAGTTCTTTAGAACAGTTTGCAAGCTAAGGTACTCATTTGCCTAATCACATCTCCTATATTTTTGCAGCCATGTTTGTGTCCATCATGACTCTTGCACTTGGCTAGGCATAAGATTGATTTTGTAGAACTTTCATTGTGTTATTGAGATTTCCTTCAGTAGCTTGCCTGCAGACCCATGTGAATAGCAGCATGAGCTGTGTTTTTCTAGAGTCAAAATCATTTACTGTCCTCCAGTTCTGTTCCTTCCTATCTGCTGAGGACTAAAAGAGAAGAAATTACATATGCTGCACCATGTTTTAATCACTGCTGATAGCGCTTGGGAATTTTTTTTCTCTTTTACTCTTCAGAGAAGAAAAAAAATTGTAAATCCAGTATGGGTTCTGAACTGCTTCTCCTACTATAAATCTTGCAGAAGCAAAGAACTATAGTTTAGAGGACATCTATCTATCAAAGAGTTGATAAGAACTAAATTTTAGATGAGGTTATATGGGCTGAGATAATGTAATTTTTACAGGATAGAAGGAGTTTTGGCAAGGGAAATGAAACCTGGCGACAGTTTGATGTTATCTGAGCATCCCATAGGGATATTTTCTTGCAGCTACCATACAGCTTCACAACTTGCCCGATGGAACTAGGAGGAAAATTACATAGAACATATAGGATGGTTCTTTGAATCAGAGGGATACAGCCTTCTTTGATCTAGACTTATCACATATTCCTAGAGTATCTAAAAGTACCTGTCAAGTGTATGTAGATAATGTGTAGAATTCTGCTGATTAGTTTAGTTCTATTACTGCTTGTGTCCCAGTACAAAAATCTTTTCCATTGGTTCTGATCCTTACCCAGCTGCTTGGAAGAAGACTTTGAAAGATGATGTCTTAATCCAGGAATCAGCCAAAAAGTATAGGGATGAAAAAAAAATAAATGTCTCACAATTATCCAAGTAATGTAAAATTCCCTCTATGTATGTATGAGTTCAGCAGTAGGATGCTGAAAGGTGTAACTCATAAGAATAGCTTTAGATAGCCTTTTAGGGGACAGGATTAAGTTTGTTGGAATTAGTTCTTTTAAGTTGGAGGAAGCGTATTTTCTTTGGTGTGAAAAGGTGATGTCTGACTAACAGATAAATGGTGTCATCAGAAAAATAAGATACTTTAATTCTGTCTGTTCAGTACCTTCTGTTAGTTGCTAGATTTGGAAGGAATAGGCATCAATCTGTTGTGTTGTTGTTTTGGTCACAGCGCCTTTTGCTATTCTACTGAGTGCTGTAGGGTTTCCTCTGAAATTCTCGAAGACTAATTACTGGCTGCTAGAGGCTTATAACTTCTGTGATTTGGGAACCAAGATTTCAACAAAGATGTTGGGAGTCTACACTTAAAGTGGAAAGTGTGTTGAAATCTGGATTGAGATGTCAGGCTAATTTAGCTGGTGATGCATTTTAAAATGGTGGTTTATACTTGATTTCTTGATCTTCATAGATAGCCTAACATTCTTCATCTTGAGTTAAGTGTCCTAGAACAGGATAATGAGAAGAAAATCTCCCTCAGCATCAACCAAAGAAGAGATTTTCTATAAACATCTTGTAGCTGCCATCATCTCAGTTTATCCAGGCAGTTATCCTTTCTTTCATGTGTAAGAAGTGAAAGCATTCATTTAGGAGCTCCGTAAAGCCAGACACTCAGAGGTATGTTCACAGGAACGTGTTGGAGCAGGGTGGATGATATCATCCTAGAAGTTGTTTGTGCGGAGGTGGTCTTGCAGTATCATGTCTTAGAAGGCATGACTCTGGTTTCAGGTGACAAATCTTTAATAGAATCATAGAATAGTTAGGCTTGGAA